CACGATCCGTACATCTGACTTGAGCGTTGGAAGGGGTTTTCGCCGGAGCAACCCCGACTTAGTTCACGTGTGTTACTTTCGCAGGAACCTCAGGACCATCCAACTTGTGAGCTAGTGATCTGCTTTGCTCTCCCAACTCGATTACTACCCTACTACCCCAGGTGATCTAAGTATTTAACATCATCACAACTTTTCTTAAACATAATAGGGGAATTGGACAAAGTGTAATAGTCGTCGTTCTTGGGAATCACGTGAAGAAACGGAGGCGGCCGAAGAGATAGGCATCTCTGATCTGAAATTCCATCCGCGCTTCTATCAAATTCCCAGTTTACAAAGAATTTATTATCAAGTAAAATAAGTAACAATCATGTTTTTTTTCTTTAATTGTTTGTATACGTTTCTTTGTGTTATACGTGTCTTTATCAATGCGGGTTTTGTTTTCAGTCGCAAGTAAAAGGTTGGAATATTGTTTCATGTTGTCTCTCCATTCCCTTCGAAATTAGCCCTACAAGTAAGTGCATCAAGTAAATATGAACTATAATTTGCCAAGTTTTTCTTTCATCTTTGTTCAGTTATTCTATCATCTATTGTTTGTGTTGGTTTTTGGCATAATCTAGGATGTAATCTAACTCAGAGATGATCCGTTGAACTTATATTTCAGACAAATGATTTTGTCATTACATACTTCAATATATTATAGCTTCATTTCAGACAAATGATTACGCTATTACATACTTTAATATAATTAATCGGGTATTTTGCAAAATCCACCCCTGTGCAATCTCGAATTGCTAAAAAACCCCTCGTGTTAAAACTTTGTCTAAATCATTATGAAAGAAGCTTTGTGTATATAGTATAGTAGATACGATAATTAGTTTTGTTTGGGTTATTAAAGCTACAAATTATAAGGATATAATCATGTAATTAGGTAATGAAGCACTCAACAGCGGCAGTGTCCAAACTCCCTTCATCCGCCGGAGCAACGACGGTTGTGGCCAACATTCGGATTGATTGGAAACATACGCCGGAGGCCCATCACTCAAAGGTGGATACCGCAAGCTTTGAGATGCGGCCAATTATTTCCCTATTTCTAACTGGCGAAGAAATCAACTAGTTTCCTTTAATGGTAGAGAGGACGATTTCAGTTGTTGTAGAGGGTGGCTCTCCGACATGTGCGGCGGGAGACACACCTTTATAGTACTCTGACAAGTAGTTGTTTGGGTTTAGGTTGGGGATGGGTTTTGGGTGGGATAAGGGTGGAGGGGCGGGAATGACTATAACAAATTCCAAATTTTTTTAACTTCAATACCAAACAAATAAAAATTGAATAATAAATAAGTAATGACATAAATACCTTTAATGAAAATAAATATCATACAAATATTAAAAATCTCATTTTTCTTTCTTCAATACAAACACACAACATCCCTCAAACCCATCTTCTTCTTCACAAATCCCTCAACCTCTTCCTTCTTCTTCCTCACAATTTTGCCCGTTTAAACAGTAATATGTTGTGGTTGATAGTCATATTAACTGTATTACTGTTCAACACGATAATATTAACTATACACAGTAATATTGCTATATTTACTCTCTATGACAGTAATATTAACACAACAAAAATCACTATTATCATGTAATAGAGTAATATTAATATTTGACCGTTCAACAAAGGCAAACATAGTTAAAAGCCAAAAAAATTAATATTGATGTGGTTGACAGTAATATTACTGGCGTCAACCACAATTTTGTTATTGTGTTTATAGTAATATTACAATAGGTAGACAATATTATTATTACGTTAATCGGTTAACAAATCAAATAAAATAAAAATGACAAAAAAAAATAATAATAATATTGATGTGGTTTACAATAATATTTTTGTGTTTACAGTAATTTTACCGACAACGACAGTAATATAACTACGTTGACTTGTCAACAAATCACATAAAATAAAAAAAATGCCAAATAAATAATAATATTGCTGTGGTTGACAGTAATTATACTGTCAACGATAATACATTTACGTAAATGTACTGTCAAAGGCAGTATAATTACTGTGAGCGACAATATAATTACTGTTAATAACATTACAATTACGACCAACGTTCAGCGGCGGACGTAAAAAGATGATTAAATTTTTAGAGTAACAAAAACTTAAAAAAATCAACGTCGGAGACCGACGGTCAATGCTGGAAAAAAAAAAGTGAACGCTGGAAACCGCTGGCGGAAAAAGCAGGCTGAAAAAGAAGAAAAAAAGTCAATGCCGAAAATCGGCTGCAAAAAGCCAATTCATAAAATAAAAGTTTGAAAAAGTCAAAATTGGATTTTTGTGTCAAAATTGATTAAATTGAAGTTAAATTGGGGTTACAATTAGGAATTGAGTTTAAATGATTGGGGGTAATTTTGTCATATACGTTAATTTTACCTTAATTTATAATACATATTAAAATGATGAACTTATTGGCGAAAGAGATATAACCCCTGAACATAAATTAATAAAGATGGTTGGTGATGGATTTATTCATAAAAATCCCATAATAATGAGGGTTAATATCAAAGAGACCCATGACAAGGGCATCTAATTAAAAAATGGACATCCAACATTTTTGTATTTCCAATATTTCCAGCTCATTCAAACTTATTTGCAAATAAGGACAACCCTTTATATATACCAAAATTACCACCAATTCCTCCAAATCCGATTCAACTTCAATTTCATGATTTACACCACAATTTAGCTAAATTTCACCAAATAATCAATTTTGACCCCAGTTTTGACCGGAGACCGCCGGTCTCCGGCATTGACCTTTTTTTTTTTTTTTTGAAAACTTTTTTTTTTCCGATAGGCCAACCGCCAGGTCTCAAACGATGACTTTTTTTTAATTACATTTTTTTTGTTTTTTCTTAATTTTTTAATTAATATTACTGTCTTGACTGTTAAATTATTGTCTCCAAGAGTAATTTAACTGTTAATTGAATTTTTGTTCTTAAAAAAATAATTTTAATTAATATTATTATCTTGGGGCCGCTAAATTACTGTCTACAACAGTTATTTAACTGTCGGCGACAATAATTTAACTATTAATTGACCTTTTTTTTTTTGAATTTTTTTTGTTAAAAAATTATTTTAATTAAAATTACTGTCTTGGCTGCTAAATTACTGTCTTCAACAGTAATTTAACTGTATTCAACACTAATTGAACTGTCTGAGACATTAATTTTACTGTATTAATCAATTTTATCGTCTTGGTCTACAATTTTGCTATCTTCGACCACAATATTATCGTCTCCGACCGTAATATTAATGGCTCATGCAATAATATTACTGTTTGGGACAATAATATTGGTAATATTACTGTTCGGAAAATTAATATTCATAATATTACTCTCTGAGACAGTATTTTAGCAGCCAAAACACTAATATTAATTAAAATATTTTTTAAGGAAAAAAATCAAAAGAAAAAGTCAACGCCGCAGACCGGCCGGAAAAAAATTTCAGAAGAAAAAAAGAAGTTTTAAAAAAAAGAAAGAGAAAAAAGCCGGAGAACCTCTCGATCAACGTTGGAATTTGGCCGGAATTTGTTTTTTCAGAAAATAAATTATTTTCTGCAAAAAAAATTATTTTTTAAAAAATTTATTAAAATTTAGATTAATTTGATATATTTGTTTAAATCCGGGGTGAATGTGTAATATTGAGGAAATTAGAGTATAGTGGATGAAATTTATAGAAAAATATATTATGGAGGATGTCTAGGTTAAAGACATGAGGATGGGTTTATTTGAAACACTGTTTCTTGTGTGGACCAATGTGCATTTAAGTTTTTTTTAATTTTGTTTGATTTGTTGACAAGTCAACCTAATTATATTACTGTCGTTGACAGTAAAATAATTATAAACACAATAATATTACTGTCAACCACATCAATACTATTATTTTTTTGGGTTTTTTTTGTTTTATTTGAGTTATTCACGGAGTAACGTAATAATATTACTGTCTATTATTGTAATATTAGTGTAAACATAATAATATTACTGTGGTTGGCCGTAATATTACTGTTGTTATAGTAATATTACTGTCACTCAGAGTAATATTATTATTTTTTGGGTTATTTGAGTTATTCACTGAGTAACGTAATAATATTACTGTCTATTATTGTAATACTAGTGTAAACACAATAATATTACTGTGGTTGACGGTAATATTACTGTTGTTATAGTAATATTACTGTCACTCAGAGTAATATTATTATTTTTTGGGTTGTTTGAGTTATTCACGGAGTAGCGTAATAATATTACTGTCTATTATTGTAATACTAGTGTAAACACAATAATATTACTGTGGTTGACGGTAATATTACTGTTGTTATAGTAATATTACTGTCACTCACAAAATTATTAATTATTTTGGCTTTTTATTATGCTTACCTTTGTTGAACGGTCAGCATATTAATATTACTCTATTTACACAATAATAATGAGTTTGTTGTATTAATATACTGTGCTAGAGATTAATATAGCAATATTACTGTGTTAAACTGTAGTATAATTAATTTTACTGTGTTTAACAGTAATATAGTTAATATTACTTAACAGTAATATAGTTAATATTACTGTCAATCACAACAATATTGTTGTTTAAACGAGGGGACATGGGGGAAGATGTTAAAGAAAGAAAAAGTCAACGCCGGAGACCAGCGGTCAACGGCGGTTGACCGATGAAATTGTCCATAAAAATGTGTTTTTTGGTCAAAGTTGAATAAATTGTAAAATTTGGGGTCAAATTGAGGTTAAATTAAATTAAATGATGAAATTGGAGCATATTAAAGTATGAGTGGCTATTTTAGTCTTTTAGAAACCTGTGGACCATGTGCGGATTTTTTTGTAAAAGAGTTTATTGTCATAACCTCTTTACGAATAAGTACTCATTGATGGACTTATTTGTAAAGTGCCAATAGTAATAAGATAAGATAAGATATGATATAAGATACACGATATAAGATAGTATAGACTAAAATTTATGCTAATTCATGATACAAAATATGAATGAACGCATTTGTAATCTTTTGTGTTCTTGTGCCAGTCGAATTCTTTTTACTAATCACCGAGTACATACGATCTTTACAAGTGCCAAGTGCGAGAGGCAGAAAGAACACACAAACATATATATATATATATATATATATATATATACACACACACACAAGTGTTTCAGAAGAGGAGAAGGCATAGAATTACACAACACGAAAGAAACAAACACACTCTGCCGAGTGATTTATCATTTTCCATCATATACCTCTGAAACCTAGGACTAGTGCTACCGGCTAAACCGCGGTAAGAGTCCGGATATGTGTACAATGACGACGTTGTCCCCGAATTCCCAAATATCCTTGAATAAACCATCTCTCCAAACATCCCTATCATCGGGTCAACCAAATGCCTTGACCTGCCAAGATTTATATACGATCCTCCAAACGGTCGAACCAAATTATAATTATTCCGATGATGATGAACAAGAGCAGAATTTGGACTAGGAGGCCTTTCGGGTATATTAATACGATCAAGGCCGGCTTTAGACGAGTTGGTGTTTTGTCTTCCTCTACCATAGACTGGGATCACGGTTTTTTCCGAAACCTCTGTTTTACAAACGGGGCAATAGTGTGGCTGCTTTTGGTCATATTCAACGGTCAATGGATCTTGGTCGTCGTCATCATCATCTTCACCGAAGCTAATCCAACGGTAGATACAAGGCCAACAGTAGAGGTGACCGCAGAAGGTGACCACAGGGTCCTGCACCAGATCCAGGCAGATATTGCACTCAAATCCCGAATATGGATTACTTTCGACGACGACGGGCAACTTTTTCCACTTGTGCTCCATGAACATGAATATTATGATATATCTGTCATGATATATATAAAATTAAGGAGATTGGTGTAACATATGATATATATTAATATTTAATAATAATATATGGAATGTGAGAACAATATATAACTTAAAATTATAAGGTGAGAAGTTTGTTGAACAATAATTGTGGGACAAGAAAGCATTGTCGATTTGGGCAGACCATACATATACATCAATGTTAGTTATAAGTATAATAAATTGAAGCTCCCAACAATGAACCAACTACATAATTCCTTTAAATTAAATGAGTCAACATCAAATGCTTCTTTAATTACATATCATACGCCCAACAAACTATTAATTTATCGAGGTTCTATTACGATATTTTTTTATCGTCCTTTTGTTTTAGTAATTATTAACAAATAGTAATTTATATGCATGGTTTTGAATTAAGAAAATTCCATCTTATTTGTTATATACTTATGTTACATTTAACCTCCTCTACCATACAATTTTGTTAAAACCCCGAACAAAAAATTGCCTTTATTAAAGGAAAATAATATATAAGTTTTTTAAAATATTTAAATTACAAAAAGTCCTCCTCTTCTAAAGAATAATTTGGGAGTAACACACAATATACGTACAAGAAAATAGAATTACAACTTTAATTGCCTAGATCTAGAGATATCATTAATTAGCCTTAACACAAATAAGTCCAAATCAAAAAGCAAAAGAAAAATAAAAACACCAACAAGGCGAAAAATAGTGACATTGTAATTTCAAGATCAATAATCCCCTGGATTTTCACAATTAATCAGACATACGGTACCACCTTATTAGTAATAAGTAAATATATGAATTTTGTTTTATTGATCAGAATTAAGTAAAATATGTTAGGGGGATATAAATAGAATTAATATGGAGGGGAGGGATCAGAACTAAGTAATCATGATAAAAAAGGAGGCAACAAAGCTAAAAAAAAACCACTGACTATATATAATCAAGAATTGAAGCAATCTAATGTATGTACTGATCTATAAATATAAATGCAAAAGATACAAAAATAGAAAAACACGCATAAAAAAGTGAAGGATTTGACCAATGGAAACAAGATACATACGGATCAGATGTGAGAAGCTAGCTAGAATGAATCCCCTTCAATTCCTTTGGTGCGTGTGTGTGTGTGTATATATATATATATATATATATATATATATATATATATATATATATATATATATATATATATATATATATATATATATATAGAGAGAGAGAGAGAGAGAGAGAGAGAGAGAGAGAGAGAGAGAGAGAGAGAGGGGGGTGTGAAGGTGCAGGGGATAGCGTGGGTATGGTTGAGATGAAATAACCAGTTTTCCTTTAGCTCTATGAGTACAACAGGCAAAAAAGTATGTATGTATGTATGCAAGACAAAGATATATATAAATATAGAATAAAGTGTGTTTATATATATGCGTGAGAGTGACGTTGATTTTGTCTACAGATCAGTTGAGATGAATACTTGTTGTGGATAAACACAAATAATAATATGCCCATCAGCCGTGCCCATGCTTCTCCACCCCTGACGTGGCATCTAAGATGTCATCTCTCTTTTTTGGAATTTGGCTGCTAAACATATATTTTTACAGCAACCCCTCAAATAACCCCATTTTGCAAACAATCCCATTTTGTTTGGATAATTACAACCAACCCTCAATTATGTATTGTTTTACGAAAACCTCCTCATTAGTAGGTAAATATTGACACCGTAAGGATGAACATATAATACAATAGATAGATAATTGTAATTATTTAAACATTAAGATTTTTTTCGTAATTTGACATTATCTCAGGGGTGGCCGTAATTTGCCTCATATTTTTTTGATCTTCGGAACACTCAAAAGATGATGTTTGTTTGGAATTAAATGTTGTTAACGTTTAGTAATTTTTTTCCATTCTTCCCCTCAAAATAACATGGTATTTGTTAACATATTTAAAAAATGGGCAAATGGCAAATAAGCTCATGACAATGCCACTTAATTTAAAAAGGGACATCCAACCTTTTTGTCTTGCAAATATTTCCAGCTCATTCAAACTTATTTGCAAATAAGGAAAACACTTTTATATATATCAAAATTATACTCAATTCATTGAAACCCAATTCTACTATAATTTCATGATTTACACCCCAATTTAGCCAAATTTCACCAAATAACGAATTTTGACCCTAATTTCAATTTTGACCACAATTTTGACCAGCCACCGCCGGTTAGTCGCCGTTGACCGTCGGTCTCCGGCGTTGATTTTTTTTTTCTTAAAAAAAATATTTGAATTAATATTACTGTCTTGGCTGCTAAATTACTGTTTCCGAAATTAATTGTCGGAGACAGTAATTTAACTGTTAATTAACTTTTTTTTTTCATAAAAAAATATTTTAATTAATATTACTGTCTTGGCTGCCAAATTACTGTCTCCAGCAGTTATTTAACTGTCGGAGACAGTAATTTAACTGTTAATTGACTTTTTTTTTTCTTAAAAAGAATATTTTAATTAATATTACTGTCTTGACTGCTAAATTACTGTCTCCAGCAGTTATTTAACTGGCGGAGACAGTAATTTAAATTGACTTTTTTTTTCTTGAAATTTTGTTTTTTTTTTTAAAAAAATATTTAATTAATATTACTGTTTTGGCTGCTAAATTATTGTCTCCAACAGTAATTTAACTGTCTGAGACAGTAATATTACTGTATTAAATTTCAGAAAAAAAAAAATTCAAAAAAAAAAAAAAAAACAATGCCGGAAACTGACACTAAAATGTGGCCGGAAAAAAAAATTCAAAAAAGAAATTATTTTGTAAAAAAAAAGTTTACACATTTGTCTCATAAACACAACTATAAAATCGCATACCATATAATTCATCACCATCATTCTTATTTTTAAAGTTAAAACCAGAGAGAGAGAGAGAGAGAGAGAGAGAGAGAGAGAGAGAGAGAGAGAGAGAGAGAGAGAGAGAGAGAGAGAGAGAGAGAGAGAGAGAGAGAGATTTTCTATGTTTCTTTTTTTAGTTTTTACTTTTTTTTCATGATAATTATATTGAAATTCATATTTCGTGTATATTTTTTTCCGAACATTTTTTTCCGACAAAATAAATCATTAAGATTCATTTGTTTATATCCACATGATAATTACTTGATCATAATGAAGTTTACATTATTTTTTTAATTCCGTCTTTTCCATATGTATACATGATATCTCTAACAATAGTTTTTTGTTTGTTAATGATTTATAGATATGGACGTTGCTAAGTCATGTATTATAAGCGACTAATATCGGATACGGAAAAAGTCTATTGGTTTGTAGAAAATGTGACTACATCTTGAAATTTCAGAAATCAAAGGTTATATTCATATTTTTTATTCTATTATATTTTCTATAACTAATATGTGATTAATAATATATTGTTCATTGATCAATTTTCATGTAACAATTTTTATTCTATTTTTGATGTATTTAATAAATTAAAAAAAATCATATTTATCACTTGAAATTTTGCTATAAGCATTTAGAAAATATATTATTCATGTAAAATGAGATTTTTTTAAATCGACACATATCATTTTTTTGGGATTTATTTATGATATCTTACA